TTTGGAAACGCCCTGGCTATGGGAACGTTATTTGGAGTGTCCCGTGCTTCCCGTAGCGCGAATACTTCGTCAATAATAGTCGCTTGGCTTCCGCTGGTTTGATGCGAGTTGTTTATGCTTATAACACACGCTGCCGTAAACAAGCTACGGAGCACGGAACGGCGCAACAATGGACGAGCGGGCGCCGCTCGCTAAACGACCTCTGGCTTCTAAACGACAGCTGTTTGGACGCATAGAGATGACGGCGGCAATATGTTGGATAGCGGGGCGTTAGTAGGCGTACAAATTGGATCGAGCATCGCCCTTCCGTCGACTGATTTCGCCGAAACTTAATCTTGTTTGGTCGAAGTTGTGTGGAAAGTTATCCGGCCGGCAGGGAGAGGGGCGCTGCGCTCACTGATCGCCGAGCCGTGAAGAGCGAGGCCTCGGGAGGCTCCTCACATTTATTTATGCCCGGACGATGTTATGATGCGCCCGATAAACAGTATGGTGTTTCAGGGAGTTTGACGCATATCGACGTTTTGAAGAATCGCGCACTTGTGTGATGTGTTCGTGCACTAGTGCTGATGCCATATGGTCTATGAACTCGCCGATGAAGGGCCTCTCTGTGTACGAGTATCGGTGTATTGGCGGGCATGGGTCGGCGCTTTGGTGGCGGATAAGACCACTGAGGCGACTGGAGAGCAGGGCGATTGTCGATGTTAAATTTATGACAGGTGGTGAGGTGGCGCGATCGGAAAGGTGCGTTCGATGTGATCGGAACGGTATCTGAGGTGACCCGGAGTCACGAGCTGCGGAATGAGCTGGCGACGACGCGTCGTTTCCGCTCGGAAGTCAGATGACCAATCGAATGTTATCTCGGCTGGCCGTTTGTTGTTGGAAGCTGACGTGGTGGCCGATGCTCGACGGAAGTCATATCACTCCGCGCTCTTTGTGAGTTTGTTGATTGCCACGAGGCATGATCGGTGTTTAAACAATGACCGAAATGCGCGCAGTGTCGAGCTCCCTGAGCGTTGCACGGTCTAAATCGGAGTAACTATCGCGAACTCCAAGTCACCAGTGTCAACGTTTTGTACTTCACTTAGCATTCACTTGGCTCTTTGCGGGGTCGTTTGTATCGCCGCGGCCTCCCGTACTCCCCTCGTCTGCGGCGCCGTGCCGAGCCCGGGGCTGTTGGCCCAGCGGGGCCGACCTTGGTCGTCCGGTGCCGATGACGCATGGCGTCGCCCCTGTGCATATCGAGTGTCGACCGGACGTGCCCTAGCTGTGGGGGACCGGCTCTCGGCGGCGCCCGCATGGGCTGGACGCTGGGGTTATTCGGGGTACCGTTTGGTCAGTGGACGGGAGCGAGAGTGGTGCCAACTAGTGAGTAAGCTCGGGGGAGTGACGGGGCGGCTGGGGCGGGGCAGGCCTCTGCCGCTCTCCGGGGAGGGACAGAGGTCGGGCGCCGTGCTAAAAACTGGCCGGCCGCCGGCGGCTCGGCGGAATGCGGCGGCCCAGACAGCCTGACGCCGAGCCGAGCCGAGCTGGGCCGATAGCCGAGCGGCCATGGGCGGTTCGAGGTGTGCCGAGACGGCCGGCCGTGCAGCGAACACGGGCGCGGCGCCAGCGCTGCAGCCGGCCTGTGCAGGCGCTGACAGGCGGGGGGCAGGCTGCACCGATCGGCACGGCCGCTGTCCGGCACTGCAGACTGCCTGGCGTCGGCGGCCGGCCGTGTCAGGCCGTGCCGGCGGAGGACAGACCAGCGCGCCGCAGGACACGTCAGCGGGCGGCATGGGCACCGGAGCGGCACGGCCCGGACCTAGCGCGCTGCACCGGCCAGAACTCGTTTGCTGGCGCGGTCACAGCGCCAGGAATGCCGGCCGCTCGGCCCGGCCATTGTTTTTCCGTGTGGAGACGGCCGCTCCCAGTCATGATAAATAGCGCCAGCGTTCGCCAAACGCGACGTACATCGCCTGTCGGCCGCTGCCGGGGTTTCGTCATGCTTGCTGGTGTTGATGCTCATTGAATGAGTGCTTCCAAGGAAGTCATGTAATTTTAGCGGTTGGCTGGCACGAAAACCAATTTCACCCGTGGTTTCCGAAAGTCCGTCGCTCTCTGTTCGGCGACCGGCGCGATTCTTTATCATCTCTAGAGCGAAACGGATAGGCCGGCGGCGGAATTTATCTGCGACTGCGGTGACGTCCGTTTCTGATTTGGCCGCCGCGCCGCTGAATCTATGACGTATGTGATGTTTGTCTGAGTGGCCCGGCGCGCAGCCGACGCCGGATTCGCGGCCCTTTGGTGGCCACAAGTGTGGCCAACGGCCGCGCGGCGACAAATAGACGTGATTTATTCGCCGTGCCACCGTCCGCTCCACAGATTGATAATCTGACAGTGGCTCGGACCGCGGCGGTATCCACTCGGCCCGGCCGGGCGCCGGGCCGCCCGCGCCACCCCCGCGCCGCCTCGCGTTCCCCTGTTTACAGGACTGTTTGTGATGTCGCTGGTAGGGTACGTGGCAGACACGTGTAGTGGACAGCAGTGACGACATTTACGTGTAAATTTGACATGAAGCACGGACGGGTTCGCTGAGCGGCTGATGTCACCTCGTATGTCGTCCTGATGTGCGGTGAGCGGTTATGTTTAGGTCATATGTAGCTGTGGGCTGGATCTCGCTCTCCGCAGAATGGCTAGTAATCGTTTGCCATGACACACGTGCTTGGCACGCCTGTCGCGCCTGGTGTGCCGCGTTGTCACTCCCGCGGTGCGGCTAACGCGGCGCACGAGCGACAGGTGATGCGCCGATCAGCGCGATCGTCGCCGCACAATGTGTGGCCATCACGGCGGTCTCAGCGCCGTACGCTGGGAACCGGAACCGGCCGCTACGGCGCCGCCGGCGGGCGCGCCTCCTTAAAAACCGCTTTGTTGCCGCTTTGGGCGGCCGCGGGCGACGATCAGACGTCGTGGCTCGTCTCCTGCCGTCGCGCTGATGGACCATGATGGATGCGCGCCGAACCGCCGTGACGCACTCGTCGCCGCAGCCGTGAGAAGCCGCCGCGCCGGCCGCTGCCAATGATGGCGATAGCCGGAGACCGTAATAACCATGAATCGATTGTAGATGGCCTTAATTAGTGTCCGATTTTGGAGACGCTGCCGGTAGACACGCGGCTGGCACGGTTTAAATTTGTCTGGGACGACACGGCGGGTCCGTTTTACAGCGCGGCGGGTGTGACGGCGTTACACGGGCAGCGGTATCTCACCCCCCCCCCCCCCACTCTGCTCCCAGAGGGTGGGGGCGATTGACCGGCCTTCCATCGGCGGTTGCTGTAAAGTCCTGAGACGCTGTCGTAAATAGAGACTCGTCGCGCTTTATTGGGCCGATTGCTCGCGTCCGAACTGGGCCCGGACGGGTTTATCTAACGGCCGTACCAGTTTATTGGGCGGCCGGCGGCGGTTTATTAAGCGGCGCCGACCCGCTTATTAAACGGCGACCGGACCGGCTGAGAAGTGGCACCCTCGACGCCACCGCGCCGCTCCGCCGGCCGATACGGGACGACAGGCGACCCAGCCGAACTCGAGAGAAAGGGTGTCGATTTCTGTATGCCCGGTGATGGAGTTGGAGACATGACTTGATGTGTTTTACTGAGCCTTCGTAGTACCCAATTTGTTTCTGATTTATGTTCGCAGGTAGTCATTCATCCTGTAATTGTCCTATGGTCGGCGTCATTACTCATTTGGCCGCAGCGCCGGTCTCCGATGTCCCGCTGGCCACCCGGCTCAGCTCTCATGACGCGGGCCGGCTCTGGGGCCGCCGAGACCGGTCGACTCGGCTCTCATGACGCGGGTCGGCGCAGCCAACCGGGCGCCTGTGAATGGCCGCCGGCGCGCGGCGGACCGGCCGGCCAGCTCACCTTGAGGCTCGGTCCGCCGGCGCGGTCCTGCCGGCCGGCCAGCCAGCCCGGCACCGCGCCGCCGCGGCCACGGCGCGAGCTGCACGGCCGGCCGTGCTGCTGTAGCCTTGACTCACGACGGGCCGTATTTGTCGCCGCGATGCGCCCGGCCGGCGGCGGACCGGTCGCTCATGAGCGCCGGAAACTGACCGAGGCCCGGCCAGCGGGACTGGCTCAGCTCGGCGGGAACACGAGCACGGAAAATCGGATCAGGACGCGCACGGGGCTTATGAAAAGCCGTGGCAGGTACAGCGATACACTGGGTACGCACACCAGTTGACAGGGATTATGTAGCTGAATGAACTGGGGAGTGCTCCTATTGTGCAGGCATGTGTGTTGCATGGGCTCTTAAAAACGGATCTCAGGATAGAGATCTTAAACAGGATGCACTAGCGGATCTGGAAACCCGGGAGTTATCTGGAAAACACGCAGCCTTGGATCTCGAGGCATTTTGTCGTCAGCATTAGTTACCAATCCTTGACAGCTTAAAATAACCAGCGGAGAGAGAACAATGTATCACTCCCGAGACGTGCTAAACCGCGTGGAATCCGCCGAGAAGGTAATCCAGGTATAGAGACGTGTGATTTTTTCAACATACGACTGGCTTGTCTGTGTGATTGTGAACCATGATTCATACGACGCCCGTCCATAATGCCGCAGTAGGCGGTCCTTGTTGTCATTCGGGTGGGCCTGCCGCCAGTAACTGACCGGGCCCGTACGTCTTACGCCGCTGCCTCCTCCCTAATGAATCGACGGACTATTTATGCGACGTCGGCTTAATTAATTCTGTCGCGGCGTGTCTGGTTTACGGCGGCGTTCTCTCTCGTTGGACGGCCGTAAACATCGTGCCTCCGCGCTGTCCCCGCTCGCCGGCGGAACAGAGCCGCCAGGCTACCGGCTTTGTGCGCGCGGGGAAATGTGGGCCGTGGCCCGTGCATTGAATATGATAAACGACCCCCGCCGTCTACTGCCAACTGGCATGACTGTCAAATACCGCTGCAATATGAGGGCGGAGTGTTTGTTTCCCCGGCTGTTCGAGGCTAACCCTGTGTCTCTGTTCGATTTCAGTATGTTGGTGATGACTACTCCACGGACCCGGCCGGCCGGTACGGATCCTACTTCCTCGACGGTGGCGCCCCTGGCGGCGATCCGTGGAACCCACAGTATTCGACCTACTCGCCAGGCGGCCTCATGGGCACGGCTCAGGCGTCGCCCCACTATGGCATGACGTCGATCGCTGACGGCATGGTAAGTAACGTGTGGCGACTGATGTAGTGATGTAGTTTACGTGTACCGTAAGACGCTCTACCGCTCCCTATGTAACATTGCCTAAGCGTGGACTGTTTCTGCTTTGTCAATAAGACCAGTGGCCGATGTCGACCGCATTTTGCGCCCGATGGCTGTGTGGGCAGAAAGGACACACATCTATGAACACTTGAGTCAATGCGCCATACACCCCAATTCTCACAGTGGTGACACTTGTGATCGATTATTTTTTTGTTGATCTAGATTTCCTGGTAGGCGTTATTATCGGTATGGACGAGCTTGACGGTTCGGGGAATTGAAGGCAGAAGAACTATCATGCGCGCGATAGTTTGTAAGCATGGTTACTAATCCTCCTGCCCTTGAACATTCTCTTGAATGCAATGGTATTTTGATGCTATATGAATTTCATATCTTTTGATATTGCACCTAATCGTAGTTCACATGTTCGGTCCACATTTCTAGCCGGGTGTGTGATTGCAAAATGACACCGCCGTCTGCCCCGCTCGTGTGTCCCCGCTGACCTTATCCCCTCTGTTCGTCAGGTCTGCGGCGGCGCCGACCTGTCCACGGGTCTGCCGTCGATGGCGTCGTTCCGCGCGCCGCCGTCCTCCACACCGGCGGCCGTGTCCCCGCTGATGTCGGCCGGCTCGCCCATGTACAGTGGCGCGCCACCCCCCTCGGCACCCCCGCCGCCGCCGCCCGCGCAGCCGCCCAACACCGGCGACACACTCGGCAAGGCGCTGGCGTCGGTGAGTGGACAGCTTTCGTAATGCTGCTTTCAAGCTTAATTCGCCCGATTTGTTCGCAACACACTGTTATTTGAGTTTATTGTTTATTTTTTGTTTTATTTGAGTTTATTTATTTGTGTGTTTATTTGAGTTGTTTGACGTGTGTCTTACATGATTTGTTGCTGTGTTCTCAGATATATTCCCCGGAGCAGGCGGGCGGCGGGTACGGCGGAGCCGCGGTCCCCACCACCCCGGTACGTATGTGTGGCTGCTCACCGCGCTCTGACTGTCCACCCTGCCGCTGCTCACACTCAGGCATGGCCCTGTGTAACCTCTGCTGAACAACCGCTCTAAACTGCTCTGAACCGCCCTAAACCGGTCTGAACCGGACTGTGATTACCCATAGCTGTCTGAGAGTAACTCTCACGGTTTTCGATTGTCGCCAACCAGCACTAGTGCATGTCACCCTAGTTTGCCGTCACCAATGTCGTTTCCCTCACAGTCACAGCACCGGCGACTCGCCTGCCGCCTGTTGGCGACCCCAGGAACTTATCCTGTGTGGTACGCCAACAGATGGCGGGGCGAGCCGTGTCTATAATTTGATCCTCGTTTGATGTTTGCGTTTTGGTTTGGCCTGTTTGACAGAACCCTCGAATGCCCGACGAGCATTTGGATGATGCCATTGGCCTTCTGAGGGATCACGCCCAGGTGAGTGTCGTGATGTGTGTTAGTTGTCGCCTGGCCGTAATAACCCACCGGACTTTACCATCAGTCACACCTCCCCTCCAACACGCCCTGCATGAGAACAGTGGTGTCCTGTGGTACCCACGACTAACCAGTTCCGGCTGAGGCTCGGACGTACTAGCACGGAGGGATTTCAGTGATAGTTTCCGTGTCAGCCCGGATGAGTGAAACGGATGGTTCATTAGAGTTCAGCGAGCCATAACTAAATATAGACGCCAAGGAAAGCGGATGAATTTTGATGTTTCACTGGTATTTTAATAGTTGATCATTATAAGCGGAAGCTTAGTGATGCACAAATGCAGTTTTGCTGTAAACATGGAGATGCTTGTAAACACAAGAAACGTAAGCATGTTAACATAACCAACAATAAGCTACAATAATTAGCTGAATCAGAGGCGGCCAAGCTGGTTGTTGCCTTGTCGTTGTTCTATCTTTAAGCGCTGCTATGCAGTCGGGAGCTGCTGAAGTCTGTCTATGTGACTGGTGGGGCCTCCTGCCCTCTCTGGCCATCCCCGCCCCACTCTGACCGCCCCTCCCCCGGCCCCGCTGGTGGTACAGGGGGGCCGGATCGAGGAGCGGCTCGATGACGCCCTGATGGTGATGAGGAGCCACGCCGAGCCGCCGGCCGGCATGGGCCTGCACCCGGCCGCCGGCGGGCCGCCGCCGCCGCAGCACCCGCACGGTAACGGCCTGCTGTACAACATGGAGCAGCACGTGGCGGGCCTGCGGGCGGCCGCCGGCTCTGCGCCGCCCTACGGCCAGCTGGTGTCGCCCACCGACACGGCGGACAGGACACCCGCCGGCGCCAGTGAGTGACGGACAGGGGACAGAGGGGACCGCGGGAGGAGGTAGGGGTACATAGTAAAATAGAGCTGGAGGTTGGTAAGGTTTCTCATGACATTTTTAAGGGCTCGTTGAATAGCTCGTTGGCGTTTAATGATGCGGGCGTCGTACTCTGGTTATGGACTGTCTTGCGTGACTTGATTGGCTGGCAATCGGTGCTTGACCGGGCGTTTGCCGCTCGCGGTGTTCACAGAGAAGCGGAAGGACGCGCCCGACAGCACGGACCTGGCGTCCAACCTGTCCTCCAGCTCGGTGGCCGCCTCGACCACCTCTGCCGCCTCGGCCGCCTCCTCAAAGGCCAAGCGGGCGCGGAGATAGTAAGTGTCGCCGACTCTGGCGCGGGGCATGCGGTCACTAATTTCGGAGTGGTGGTTAAATGGACTGAGCTTCAACATTTTGGTAGTTTGTTTAGAATTGGTTTTGAAGTAGATTCTTGGTGCCATGCTTTGGAGGAAAAAGCAAAGTGGTGCTCATAAAGGAAATAGTGACACCTTACAAATATAGAGGAATCGGACAGGATGCCCAGGAAAAGCTCACGCCAGTGGAGCATTCTATGCTCCGTCTCCGGTGGGAAACTCCGCCCGTGACGCCGCCTCCGTGTTTTGTCGTGTTTGAATCACTCATTCATTGTCGACCCAAGTCATTCATACAGCCCGGAAGTGCACAGTGGCAGGAAGCTGTTTGTCGCCCGGCTGTAGGCCCTAATTAACATAGTCTGTCTGAGCCTCCGGATCCTTTTTGGAGTGGTCGTGCATTAGGGAAATTTTGCCTAGTTTCTGTTGTGATTTCCCCAAAGCTGCTGTCACAGTTGACAGGTTCTATGTTGATATGATACATGGCTGGTCAAGCGTCGTATTATGTTGTAAGCAAAGCTTACCACAATAATTCATGGCAAAACCCATGAGTCTTCGAATCAGGAACAGCCCTGGCTGATGGAAATCGCCTTACCTTGTGACAGTAAATCAAATGTAATGCTGAATGATTGGTCAAACCGCAGAACGATTAAAATAATCATTCAATAATATTATTTGATTGAACCCTTCATTTTTTTTTTCTTCTAAGATACGTTTGATGATATAACTAGAAGATGTCATGCTCTTTAGTACCACTAGCTCTGATCATAGTTCTGCACACTCTCACAACCTATCGCTCTTCATTAATTACCGACCTCACGGCACTGAAAATCCCTTTCAATTAATTTACTCACGGCTGGATTTTGCTCCCCTCACAATCTTTTTATTTTCATTTACTGTGCGCTTGATCTCTGCACACACAGTCTCTCTCGCTCTCTGTATGTATGTTTCTGTGTGCCATTTCGCGGACCGTGCGCCGCTACAAGTCCCCCCACCTATCTCGCCAAACAGCCCTGGACAACGGTCCGATGTCGATTGTTGCAGCGAAGATGAGACTGACCTCGACCCGGGCACCAAACTCCTCCGGGAGAAGGAGCGACGCAGCGCCAACAACCAGCGGGAGAGGTACGTGTCACAGAGCGCGCGCGCGGTGGTGGCGGTCGGGGGCTGCTGGCCGGGCGGATAGATGCTGGGGATGGGAGGAACAGTAGGAAAGGAAACCGAAAAGGATAGGAGGGGACGGGACGTCTCAGATGGCAAGGTGGTAAGAGGTAGGTGGTAAGCAGGTGATATATTTTTCTGATAGCGACGACATTCGAGAGGTAAGTGTTGCATTTTACTTCGGCCTTTTTCTTTTTCAAGGCTGCGGCGTCCGCGGGTACAAAGTCTTCAAAAATGCGGTTCAAATTGCGATAAAAAATAAAGCCGTTGGTGTCGCTTTCTACTCGATATCCACCTCACGCCGGAGTATCAGATTTCACAATACCTTGCTCAGGCTTGACCATGGCTCTGTCACGGAGCGACTCTCGGCTAACTGAACCGGCCGGTTGAGCGAATGGAATGTCTGGGTGAGCCCGCCGGGCCGCGCAGGGACGGGACGGGCTGAGGTCTCCCCGGAGCGGGTTTTTTAGCCCCCCCCCCCCCCTCCTCCTCCCTCGCGCCGGAAACGTGCGGCGCCGCGCGGCCCATCTCGCCGGTTGATGTCTCCTGACTGACGGCGGCCACGACCGATTACCTCTGATGACGTCAGTGGGGTGGGTGTGACGTCACGGGAGGCAGATAACTGGGACGGAGACATGGAGATGGGGTTGGAGCTGAGCAGCGTGAGCTGTGGGCGGGTGAAGTAGGTGGATTAGTGGGTATTTGTCCGGACGGAGATGGTAAGGACTAATGCGTCTGATCTGGGGGGGGGGGGGATAACTAGATTACAGCCCGGGCCAGCAGCCGGGAGGGATTATTCAGCACGATGCATGGAATATGTTTCTGTGGTCTAGATCGGTGTTGTGTGTAATGGGTTTTATTTTTTGGTGTTTTGTTCCGTTAAATCAGCAAGATCTTGTTCTTGGATAATGAAGCCTAGCAGTGACCGTAAATATTTAACGTAATCTTGTTTGATGATCCGTTAGATAAGCCAAAATTCTTGGCTTTTTTGAGTAACGTAAATCTGTTAAGAATATTGGAGTAGCAATTAGCATTTTTCGGGTAGCCAGTATTTTTACTAGTACCCTAGTGCAGTCTGCTGCCCTCATAGCTAAACAGTACTGACGGTATTTGCTGTATTTTGTTGCTGTATGGATATTGACACAGTTTGATTTACCGTTTGTTTGTACACCGTTTGCGTTGAGTTAGCCTGGTTGTTGTGGCTGGCCGCCTGAGTTGTTTGTTTCTGGTCTTGCCGTTTGCTGCACGCCTCTCTTCCCTTTGTGTTGCCCGGTGTCCCTGGTCCTCCACTTCTTGCCGTCTTCCCGCGCCTGTCCGTGGCCACGCACTCTGGTCTCTAACGCCCAAGGCGTATGTGGTTCAGTTTCTGGTTCGGCTTTATGTAATATTCCTTCTTCCCTGTCCTGTCTTACTTTAGTCGTTTGGAAAAATTGGGTACGTTTTCATTCACCCTCACTCTGAGGCGAGGCCTCCGTCTAAATGGCGAGCTTTTGGGGCATGCTCGTTGTGGCCGTCGCCGCCGAGTGCGGTCGGGTCTGAGAGGGGCCAGCGGCGCGCCGCCTTCACCGCTGCTGACCCGCTGCCCCCCAGGATCCGCGTCAAAGACATAAACGAGGCGTTCAAAGAGCTTGGTCGCATGGTCACTGTGCACATGGCGACGGACAAGGCGCAGACCAAGCTGGGCATTCTGCACCATGCCGTCGAAGTGATCAGCCAGCTGGAGGCGCAGGTCCGAGGTAGGTGTGCCGCCCCCGCCCCCGCCCCGGCCGCCGCCGGCTGACCGCCGTCGGCGCCGCCCCGGCAGGGTGCGCATTCGCGACATCAATGAGGCGCTCAAAGAGCTCGGCAGGATGTGCATGGCGCACATGAAGCAGGACAAGCCGCAGACCAAGCTGGGCGTGCTCAACCTGGCTGTCGATGTCATCATGACCCTGGAGCAGCAAGTTCGAGGTCAGGCGAGGGCGGGTCGCCGCCGGGCCGGACGGCCGACCGCGGTGACCGGATAGTTGTGCGTGTTCGGCCGGAGCTGTGCGCGCTGCTGACGGAACGCTGGCCAATCAGTGACGCCGCTGATGGGCTAGCGTTTCCGACTGCAGGGCGCACAGCTCGGTACTGAACACAATCCAGTCACCGTGACGCACGGGCTCGTAGAGTTTGGAAAAGCAGAGCCATTACACTTATCGTGTTTCAATCATGAAAAACTTAGCATTGTAGCAGTAAAATTGCAGCATTCTGCGTGCAATCTAACCGCCTCTGCGTCTGAAACTCTGCGAGTGCCTCGTGCCGTCGGCCGGGCCGGCCCCGTCGCATCCCTCCTCTGTGTCTGTGAGTCGTGTCGCCTGATTGGTGCCTGGGTGTGGTGTGCGCCTGCCCTGTCCCTGGTTGGTGTGTGTGTCTGCTGCCTGCTATCCGTTGGCGTCCGTCTCTGTCCGTTCTCTGTGTCACGGTTGGCTGAATATCCCCGGTGCTGGATGGACGGAGGGCAGGTATTTCAGCGTTGCCGCCGCCGCTGCTGGAACAGGGTGTGTTTTGGCGTGTTGGTGTGTCGTTTTTTTTTCTAGAGCTAGCCTCTTATGTCTGCATGATTGGTGTCGGGGAACTTGGTGAGGTGGCTGGTGGGGTATCGTGCTGTCATGTGAGCGTTGTCCTTGAGATTGTCGAGCGTTCTCGACTGTGTCAGAGGTGCTTCCCTCGCGCACCGCTCCCCCCATCATTGTTCCGGCGTCCTCCGACGATAGTATGACCAAGTTCCGGCGGTACATATTTATACATATTATATATATACATATTATAATATGTACATATTATATATGTACCTGTCCATATTTGGTGTCAGTTGTTTTGGTCTGGTGCATCGGGCACGTATTTGATGGTGTAGAAAGATAGGGCTGAACCTGAGCTGGAATCGCACCGGTTTCGCGGATAAACGGCTTACGGGCAAATTGGGTCCCGTTTGCTGATCGAAGAATCACTTTGTGGTGTTTTCTGGCTGAAATTGTGGGACCTGTCACGACGCCATCCACCCGTTTTTGGTAATCTGATTCGGATGCGCTTGTGTTGTGTTTTTCAATGGCCGGATGCGCTACAGGCATTGCACCGGATATAGACGAGGAGCGTTATGTAAAAGCGTTGCCTCTCTTCCATTGTATTCATTTGGTCTGGTGGGTTTCTAATTTTCCGCGATTTAGCTGTTAACGGTTACATCCCTTAACGCTCTACTGAGTAGTTCACTCGCAATGAATTAGCTAAAATCCGATTTTTGCGAGAATCACAGTGAGCAATTTTTAGTCTGGCGCGTGCCCAAGGACACCCAACTTAACGTTCAGACACGCCAGCTTAGACCGACGAGCTATGTTCAGCATCACGGAGTCGTTATGGTTTTTACACGAGCCGCTCTCGAGATTTGTGCACGGTGGGTGGATTTGGACGGACAATGAGTGGTTTAGAGCCGAGACTCAGTGCTGGTGGTCTGTGTTGGTCCCGTTGTCTGCAGGGAGGCAACTGTCTCATGGTTGATAGCAGCATTCGTGAGCGTAAAGGGGTGGTTGCGTGGCTGGTCTCGTTACTGTTGTACGCATAGGTAAATTCGGTATATGCTGCATCCTGTCTAGACCACTGCTGTGGACGAGCTGGGTTGATTTTGATCGTGTAGAGTAAAGCAAGTTGCATGGATACTTTACTTGCTTTGCTTCCGATGAGTCGTCTACTTTGTTGTGCTTACTGCCCCTGTGATACTTTTCTGTTGAGGCGTGGACGCTGTCATGATAGGTGTAGCCCTGTAAATGTCTCGCCAGCAGCTGGGGCTGACATTTCGCTCTGAAATGTCAGTCGTCGGCCGTGACCCCGGTGAAGCGACAGCTGTGTACGTGTTTGTGTCTCGGTCGGTCCGTCCGTCTGTCTGTCTGTCTGTCTGTCTGTCTGTGCGTCAGTGCCTTTCGCTCGTCTGTGTGTGTCCTGTCTGTCGGTATGTCTGTCTGTCCGTCCGCCCGCCTGCACGTCTGTCTGTTCGCCTGTCTGTCCGTTGGTCTGCACCGGGCTCCCGGTCCGTCCACCGGCCGGTCTGCCGCGGTGGATTTGGCTCTGACACACCCTGCATGGCGGCCAGACCGCATTGCTGCCGTCAATTACCGCACATATCGCATGCTATGTCGGTCCGGGTAGCGTGCCGCGCGGCACTAGTCCCGATTTCCGAGTCGGATTGTCTGCCAGCTCGGCTTTTGTTAGCTTCTTGATGGTTCTTAGCTGTACTGAAACAGCTTGTTTGTTTTTAGATTTGCTGTGTGCGCTGCCTTCCCGTAAGCGATTGTCTTGGATGTTGTTCAAATGATCAGTTGGCTATTGTGGTATCTGTGGTGACTGCTTATGTCTAATCAGTGGCGTTTTTCGGTGAAATTTACGGGAATCTGTCCGCAGTCGACTGATCATTTGGACAGCACCTGTCGTATTTTTTGTTGTAAGTGGGCTTTGTGCCTGGCGAGGTAATTTTGTGGATAGCTGAGTGTCGTAAGAGTTTTCCTGTGGCCGCCATTGTTTCGGATTTTGTTACACCGTATCGGCTGGCTATATGTAGTTTGGCGTTTCTGATTTTTGTCTTGGTGCCAGAGCTCTTTGTTTTGGTATTAATGGCTAGGTGTTTTTGTAAAATGGCGCATCGTTTGACGAGTGGTCATACAAACGGACGCCGCCGTCACATATTGTCCCACGGAGTTCCCACTTAATCATCGATCACATTCCTTTGGTGATGTGCACAATGCACATAGTAACGAAAAGGATGTTCACCGTCTATTTTTGTAGTGCAACAACCGATCGCATTCCTTTGACTTAGCGCTAGGCAACTGGAAGGAATTCTTTGCAATAATGTTTGCGTGGTTTCGTCGTTCAATAACCTTAGACATAATTCTTTTTGTATCGTAACTTAATTTTCTACATTGTTTGCTTCACTCCCACTTCCAATTTATCGTGTTACTGTTTATTGCCCATTGTGCACCGTAGTGTCGGTCCCACCCCGCTGACACGGGTCGTCCCCTCCTCTCTCCGCAGAGCGTAACCTGAACCCGAAGGCGGCCTGCCTGAAGCGGCGGGAGGAGGAGAAGGGGGACGACATCCCTCACCACCTCCACCCGGCCGCCGCCGGCGCCGGCATCCCCTTCAACATGAACGTGACCAACGTCAGCCACGCCGTACGTAGCACCTAGTACGATATCTTCTTTTTTCTTTCTTTTCTTTTACTTGTTACTGCATGATTACTAAGTTGGGCTACTTCTAGAACTAGACTACAGGGAGTGCCTCGAATGGTAATAGCGCTGTGACTCAAACGTCTGCGCATTTTCCGGTGATTGTGTTCGAATATAATTTTCGTGGGACCTTCAAGCTCCTCCCATAAATAAGACGGATTTTTTATGTGAAGGTAATGCCGTTAGTCGGCTCAGTTGATTCGTCATGGTACGGTGACCTGGGCGAATTCCTTTCTCACTGACAGGACGTTGGTTTTTGTTTTCAGGGCGCGGTGCCCTCGCACTCCTTACAGCATCAACAGTAGCGACACCTAACGGCAGCCAGTGACACCCGAACTGTGGCAGACGGCCGCACGTGGCGCTGTGGCCAGCCGCGGCGCAGCGCGTCCCATGTGATACCTATTGACTCTGCCGCGCGCCGCTGCGTGGCGCTAGTGTACATAGAGTGGGCGCGCCCGGTGGCGCAGCGGCGCGGGACGGTAGCGTAGGCGGGGCGCGGCCAGCCGGCTCGCGCGCAGCGACCAATCGACAAGGGCGCCGCACAAGTGTTCTGTGTACAAAGCTGCTATTTTATGAGCGATGGGCCCGCGTGCGCCGGCCGCGCGCAGCGCCTGGCTCGTGCATGATATTCCATAAGTGCATTACGTATTTCGCTCGTGCGTTGTGTCTCATCCCGGGGTGCGTCCCTCCCGCTGCCCGTCCCCTCCCGTTCCCTCACCCTCTCTCGCCCTATTTTATCTCTTCTCATGACGTCAGCCGGCCGGGCGGCCGCCGCCGTGCGCGCCGTCCGGCCGGCCATCCGACGCGTCAGTATTATGAGCATTCCGTCAGTGAGAGGCCCCGTGTACATAGGCCGGGCGTCGGGCCCTGATCTCGCTAGCGGCCCGCCCCGTCCCGCCCCCCTGCCCCGCCCCCGCTCGGCGGGCGCCCCGTTTGCTCAGCCTGGCATTACCGTGTGTGATGGGTGGGGAGAGTGACCGGGGGCACAGTGTAATGCTGAGTTGTGTCGCCGATGTGTGACCGTGTGTGTATGTGTGCGGGTGGCGCGCGCTACTGCCGACCCGCTGCTGCTATTTTTGTGGTGATGAGCTTCGGTGGACAATTTGCGCGCGCGCGCGCGGGGCGCCGCGGTGTGTCTCGGCGGCGGGGTGTACTTTGGCGCGCGACCGGCCGCCATGGCGGGGCCGTGTAGCGGGAGTCGGCGGCGACTCCGCGCGAAATCAGTTCATTCGGCGCGCTGTGTGTGTGGGAGAGAGGTCATTGTTTTTAGTGTGGCCCGCGTGGTGGTGAAGACGTTGTTTTCTTTGTTGAGTGCGTGTCACCGCGCAGTCTATGTGTTGTCTGTACTTCGAATTGCATTATACCTGAGTACGATAGTCGATTGTAGGAAATATATATCCATGTGCCATTCGTGCATTGTGTATCGTTGTTTGTTCCAATGGAGCGTGGCGTTGAATGATGTTCCGTGAGCAGCTGATCAGACTCCCAACGGTTTACCCGACTTCAGCAGTATCAAAGTTGTTTATAAGTCACTGGCTCGTCCTTGGCCTCGAAATGGAGCATTGATTACGGTTCCTACCTATGGAACTGATGGAACGAGGAGCAAAAATGGAAGCTGTTGTGTGTATCGCATCGGTTGTGGTACGATGGGGTTGTCTTTGATGGATGCCGCCGGCCGTGATAGCTCGAAAAGCAAGTTTGCCTTTGATGAATACCGCTGCGGAGAACGTCTACCGCCGCAGCGTTTAAAACATATTTTCCGCACTCGGCGTGGATTTTCCGTGGTCGATTGTCCGCTAAGCGGTCCGTTACCACTCCGGCTAACTAGGCCCGAGATCATGGCCGACATTAGTAGGCGATTAACAACGGTTCCGAACAGAGCCGGAGATAGGTTGGTTTGGGTTAAGCACCACACCCAGTGGACCAAGGCGCTAACCGGAACTCTCACGCTGTTCCAAGCGGTCAGGTAGCGGCAATAAAGCCGGAGATATTCGGCACTCGGCAGTTCGTAAATGGCACATGTTGACAAACGCCATTCAGGTTCCTGGGTTACCCAAATATCCAAGTCTTGACAAGAGGTTGCGTGAGCGCTGTGAGGGAGCAGCTCATTTCGCGTTTGAGGAGAGTTCCCAGTTCAAATAAGCTCACGCATTCCCCGAGTAGCGTGGGAGAAGATCATCCAAATGCATGGTCTATGCTGTACGTACTTGACTGCATCAAATACACATTTTACAACGAATGGGTGACCGTATATTGCAGTTGGCCGCTTCACATACAAGTTACAACATACAGCGGGCAAGGTGAACGACCCGCAAATGCCGGGACCAACAGCACGAATCTGTCAGTTTCCCTAGCACGGTGACTGGTGAGACAATTTACGAAGAGCATCGCTCGTGCTGACTTCGATCTACATGAAGTAGACAGGCACGTACTTCTGCGCTCTTTACACATACAAACATCAAGCGTGATACAATCAGCACATTCACATGGTTCAGTCGCAGCGTTCAGGAAGTCACGCAGGATGCCCCACGTTGTCAAATGCCGCTTCTAGAACTTTGGCTGCATTTTTAGTGACCATCACAACAGCCCGTCAATTCAGTGACCGCTTGGAAGTGTTGAAACATGAATTATGGCCGGTCACAATATCTCTGCTCGCACGTACCGGTTTAACCATCAAACACAGAGTGCAGATCGCGCCGCACACAGATGACACTGACACATTACAACGAGATGACAACGTTCAGTCCTGGACACACTACCGGGCCTCACCGGCGACAGGCTGGTTCAGAGGAGCGTCCTGTACTGCTCCCTGCCCGGCGGCCTGTGCCGGCCCCTGCCCGGGGTCATCGTCTTCGCCCTCGGGCACGGTGGCCGCCCCGTCTGCCGCCGGCAGCGCCGCCGCCTCTCCGCCGGCCGTGGCAGCAGCCTCAGCAGCCGCCGCCGCCGCCGCCCGCCGCTCCTGTTCGATCACTCGCTGCTTCAACACCGCGCAGAACTTTTTATGTGTGAACCAGTGCACGCGCTGACACTCCCGCCCGCAGTACTGCACACCGCGGCACTGCGCGCACCGCTTGGTGGCTCCTTCCTCGCCGCACGCGAAGCACTGTTTCTCGTCCTGGAAGGCGCGCTGGCCGTTGATGGCCGCCGAGAGGAGACCCAGCGCGCTGGTTTCTACGGCCGCCGGCGGCGCGCGCGCCAGATTCGCCACCAGCTGCTGAAACAGCGGCGTCTCGCGGCACGGGAAGCTCTTGATACAGCCGCGCAGGTAGTTTTCCTGGTATTCCTCCACCATGGAGTCGTTACAGCGGAGCCAGGCGCGGCTCATGTGACTGTACACCTTCTCCGCCAGCTCCTTCTGGTCGACTTCAGTCGCCTCGCCCTCCCCGCTGCCCAGCTTCTTCAGCTCGGCCCGCCGCGCCTCGTCGAGCGAGCGCAGAACACAGGAGAGGTAGTGTGCCTTGACGGCCAGCACGTCATTCCCGCCCGAGGGTTTGCGCACCTCGCGTTCGCTAATGAGCTCCAGGACCCGTGAGACGCGCACCAGGTGGCTGAAGAGCTGGGCAGACTGACGGAGCACGTTGACGATATGCACAGGGTGCAGGTTCACCTGGCGATCGGAAGGGGTGGTCAGTTTGGAGCGGAGGTGAGAGCAATCAGTCCGCAGCACACGCCGGACGGTAAGGCCAGTCGACCGCCATAGGTCGCGAGTTGGTGCACTTGTCGCCTGCCTGGACTCGAAGGCGGCTCTGCTGCTCCTGGCTGGAGGCGCTGCGGCCCAGGCCTCGACACTGGGCGCCAGGCTGTGGGCCCAGCTCCGGCGCATGACGGCCGACGGCAGCACGGTCACGCTACAATGGGTCCCGGCCCACTGTGGGCTCGCCGGTAATGAAAGAGCGGACGCCCTGGCCAAGGAGGCGGCCGCTCTTCCCCAGCAGTCAACGCCGGTGGATGTCCGCACTCTTACGCGGGCTGTCGCGCGGCACTCCAAGAGGAAGTGGCAGGCGGACTGGCCGGCCGGTTGGTACCGCACAGTCATGGGGGACCGCGCCCCCGCCCCGGTCCGGACCGCCACCAGGGAGGAGGCCGTCGACATCCATCAGCTCCGGTCTGGCCACTGGGCCCGATCGGAGCAGTACCTCCACCGGATTGGTCGAAGACCTACACCTGAGTGCGCTCAATGCGACGACAAGGAATGCCCTGCGGGCCTCTGCCTAGTCTGCTCTGAAGCAGCGGACACCCCGGCGCACGTGTTGCTGGAATGCCCGTGCCTGTACGGCCCCCGGCTCCGTGCGCTGGGCAACATCATCGGCACGGCCCACGATGTCCGGCGCGACGACGTGGTGGCGGCCTTGGCCGCCGGATACATGGCCCACAAGAGCCGGTCGGCTACGCTACCGCCCCGGCGGTAGCCGGGGGGTCAAACAACAACAACAACAACAAGTTGGTGCACTTCAAAGGAAGTAGCGACTACTATTTGTTAACTGTATGCTGCATAATATTGGTTTCGCCAGCTAACATTATTTTGCGAGCTTTGTCTTGGAACTCAGATATGCATGCACCTGATCGATTATCTCCAGGTATACCCTGATGACCGAGTGCTATCCTATTATCGGCTATTTTGTGTCATAAACACACTCCTCCCATCTCAGCTGTCCGGTTCGATTATTACACGACTGTTTGTGATAAGTTCTGACCTGCATGAGGAGGTGGTGTGTAGGTGCCGCCAGCGAGGGCAGCAGCTTGGGCTCCGTCTCCTGGCCCCGCGCCACCGTGTAGTAGTCAATCAGCTCCCGGGGGATGAAGTTGTTTATCAGCGCCACCACACGGTGGTTACCTGGACGGAAGGGAGAGCGGTTGTCAATGGAAGATCGAGGGAACGTCTGTTCAATGAACGAAGCAAAACTACTGTAAGCGGACGAATAAAATGAACGGATAAGCTCTAAAGACATTGAAAGTATTACTTACAGGGTGTCCCGAAATTGATGTCCTATCCCATTGCGTGCAATAACATCAAAACAAAAAATGACCGGTTCATGATTTATTTGTTGGTATATCCACCACGCTTCCGCACACATGCCCGCATGCGCTCCGGCATGCCACACGTCAGGTTGTCGAGAGTTTCTCCAGAGATGCTGCTCCAGGCCGATCGGAGGTTCCTGATGAGGGCAGTTTCGGACGACGCTGGTGCCATCTTGTCCATCCTGTCCTGGACGATTGCCCACAGGTTCTCGATTGGCGACAGGTCCGGGCTGTTACCTGGCCATTCTCCTTTGCCCCAGAAGCCAGGGAAGTTGGCCCGGCACCACTCCTGGGTCTTGGTGGCGTTGTGAGCCGGGGCACCGTCCTGTTGGAAAATGGCCTGTGACATGTCCGGCAGAAGTTTGATGGCCGTTGGTGGTCCGTTCTCCTTCCGTCGTCTCATCGCTGATGCCGCCGTTCCCTTCATCACCTCCTCCACGTAGAAGTCCGCTGTCACGGTTTGGCCGCGGGGCACGATGTGAAGGTCTGACAGGCCACGGAAACTCATCATGCCCCACACCAGGACCTTGCCCGGCTGCTTGACGGTCTCGATGACAGGCACTTCTGAGCTGTTCTGAGCCCAAACACGGTCGTTCTGGCGGTTGGGAGGATGAAACAGCTCAAAAGGAGACTCGTAGCTGAACAGGACCCGCCTCCAGTCCTGTATGGACCAGTTGATCCGATTTTTAGCGAAGTCCAGCCGTTTTCGTCGCTGTGCTGCCGTCAGCTTGGGCTCCACGCGCGGTTTCAGCGGCTTCAGACGGAGGCACTGCCGCAGATACCGGTGGACAGCGGACTTGGAGGCCGGATGACTTTTTGCACTGAGTTTCCGCGCTAGTTTCCGTGTCGACTGGTGCCGTTTCGTAACGGATTTCGCTACCACGATTTTGGCCATCCGGCTCATCGCTGTCCTCCTCCCTCTTCCCCCGCGGTTCTCCAGTGCCTCTCTCTTGCGGTCGAGGGCCATCCAGCGTCTGAGGGTCCTGGGCTCTATCCTTAGCTCCTTGGCTACCTGTACCTGGGGCGTGCCGCCGTTAACCATGCCGACAGCGCGATAGCGAGTCGACAAAGGGTACTCCTTCGCCATGGCTGATATGCAGTCCGCGCGCCTCGCGACCCTCTCGGTAAATGACCTCTGCAGCCCCGCCGGGTCCTGGGTCGGCTCGCCTGGCTAGGTCACGTGACCAACAAACACGTGACCGGGCCCCAGGGTCGGGTCCCGGGAAAGCGCCATTGGTATACCGGTATTGCTCTGGGGAAACGTAACGAACGAGAGAGGACATCAATTTCGGGACACCCTGTACATGCAAACAGGCGGAAAATACAAAGCTGTTCGGTTCACACAGGTTTGGTAGTAATTAAAGGGCATCGTGACATCGCGAGTTCAAA